CTTCCAGAACTTCCGGCAAATTGTTAAATTTCAGGACTGTCCCGCCAAAAGCGGGACATCTGGTCACCTTATGCGACTAGGCCCACCCCACATCTCCCTTCCCGGGTTCCTCAGGAGGCCTGGTGGGGTCGCGGGCTACTTGTTAGGGTGCTAGCAGCAAGGTCGGCAGTTTGAAATGACCAGCTGGTCCAGGGGGGCAAGACAAGGCTTTCAAGTCCCCTTTAAGATTCCCAGACTCGGAAACCCACAGAGGCAGTTCCACTCTGTCCTGCGGTGTGGCTATGAATCAGACTTGAGCCCATGGCTATGAACTTGGCTTCCACCCTCACCGTCCCAGTGGCTAACGACCTAGCACACAGGGAATCTTCCTGGCTGGGCTGACTGCAGCTAACTACCTAGCACAGGGCTCATCCTGGGAACGCCAGCCTCAGCTTGGGCTCACGGGTGACTGGCTCAGTCAAGGGTGTAAGGACACAAGCCCCAAGCCCACCCTTTCAGGGCAGCAGATACGGCCACTGCCCAGGGAGAGGGAAGGAGGCCTTCTTGGCTGTGTTTAGACCTCAGAGCCTTCCCCTCAGCAACGCCGTTTTCCCCAGAGCAAACGCAATAGAAGGAAACACTGCTTCCAAAGAGGGATTTGTTCTGCTTGGAGGGAACGGGATGAACAAGGAGGCACAGAGAAAACACACACAGTCAGGCAGGCAGGCAGGCAGGCAGGCACTTCCCTCTGCACGCAGCTAGATAGAGGCTCCACAGCCGTCATGCCATGCTGGGTGGCGGGACACAGCTCGCGTCAGCCCGAGGTCAGAGCACGTGTCCACATTCGTGTGTGCCATTTTCAAATGACCTCTCTGGTTGAGGGATGGACAGGACTGAATGAGAAGCTTGCATCTCTTTTTAGAAATAAGCAACATACAGATCGTGGAATCCCTCCTGAGTGTGTTTTCTTCACCTGGCTTCTAAGATACTGCTCTCCCACCCCCCAGCCCGACCCCATCTCTTCCTGCCTCCAGGTTTGCTGCTGCTCCGGCTCCTTTGCTGCCTCTGCCTCTCCTCCCTGAGTCTGACCGTGGAGAAGCAGTGCTTGGCTTGGCCACACACTCTCTTTCTGTTCCCGATTTCATATTAAGCCTGAGAGCTTAAGTGTCGTCTATGTGCTAACACGAGCCCTGATGGCGCTGTTGGGTAAACATTGGACTGCTAACCACAAGGCTAGAGATTCAAATCCACCTACCGCTCCTTAGGAGAAAGACGAGGCTGTCTGTTCCTGTCAAGCAGTGGTTCTCAATCAGTGGATCAAGACCCCTTTGGGGGTTGAACGACCGTTTCACAGGGGCTGCCTGATTCAAAGCAGTAGCAAAATTAAGAGTGATGAAGTAGCAATGAAAATAATGTTATGGTTGGGGGTCACCACCACAGGAGGAACTGTATGAAAGGGTCGTGGCATGAGGAAGGTTGAGAACCACTGCTGTAAAGACTTGCAGCCTCAGAAACCCTGGATAGCATTGCTGTGAGTCCAAATGGGCTTGATAACAGTGGGCTTTTGATAAGCTGATGCTAGTCAAGCTCATATCTCCAGACTCACTCTGCTCTGCTGAGCTCCGGACTCACAGCCAATTGCTCGCCCACCATCTTCACATACTTGTTTGAGGGGCATCGCACAAACAAGGCCAAACTCCGGGTCAGCCCCCTCAAACCTCAATCCCAGGCTTCTCGAGTCCATCCCTTCTAGGGCCCAAGTTTTCGGAGTCACAGGTAACCCTGCCAATTTCCATTCATTCATCGCTCTGTCCATGCATCCCGGTATGTTTCCAACTGGATCCAGAACCAGGCTGGATCTTATTTTCTGCATTGTCCAGCGGGGTAGCCAACTGCCTCCTTACAGCTGGCCAGTCACATTTCAATGAAAGTTAATTGAAATGAAGTCACTCTCAAAGCATCCGAAACAGAAAGGACCTTCTCCATCCTCTAGGTCTGGAAATGAACTCATGTCCTGGGATCAATTTACAGCCAAACAATAGACAGGTCGACGAGGGGAGCAGCACTACGAGGGAGCGTTACGCACACCTTAGAGTACTTAGCCGGACGAAGGGAAGGGCCAGCATTGGCTCAAGGACAAAATCCAGAAGGGTCGGGAAAGGAGGCAGTAGGGAAACAGGAAAGGCAGGAGGGAAGGAAGATAAGTGAGGTGGCATTCTGGGGAGTGCAGCGAATGCGATGAGATGCAACAGGTCTGACTTGCGGAATGGAACACAGATCTGTTCTGGAAACTTCCGTCCGATTCACAATCACAAGAACAGAAAACAAAAAGGAGTGGCACGTTTAGAAACCACCACTGCCAAAATTAAGGGAAAAAACTCAATTCCTCAGCGGTGCTAGCTACGTCTCAAGTACTTCATGGTCACAGGAGGAGCGGTTGTTTACCTGACCACAGTATCGACCAAGGCAAGGGGAGACCATTTCTTTCTTTCTGCACAGAAGGTCTTGTTAGCGAGCTCAGGGCTTTCACGGAGCGGTGCAGTCACCTCTCAGCTAATCTTGCTTCTTCAGTCTTTACAATGCTGCCGCCAGGGCGATTTTTTTTTTTTTTAACATTTTATTAGGGGCTCATACAACTGTTATCCCAATCCATACACACATCAATTGTGTAAAGCGCATTTGTACATCGTTTCTCAAAACATCTTCTCTTCATTTAAACCCCCGACATTAGGTCCTCATTTTTCCCCTCCCTCCCCGCTCCCCCCTCCCGCATGAGCCCTTGATAGTTTATAAATGGGTATTTTGTCATCTCTTGCCCTGTCCGACGTCTCCCTTCACCCACTTTTCGGTTGTCTGTCCCCCAGGGAGGAGGTCACACACAATTCCATGTAATCGGTTCCCTCTTTCCTACCCATTCTCCCTTTACCCTCCCTGTTTTGCCACTCACACCACTGGTCCTATAGGGCTCATCCGTCCTGGATTCCCTGTATTTTCAGTTCCTATCTGTACCAGTGTACCTCCTCTGGTCTAGCCAGACTTGCAAGATAGAATTCGAGTCATGGTAGTGGGAGCGGGGAGGAAACCTTTAGGAACTAGAGGAAGGTTGTATTTCTCATCATTGTTACATCACACCCTGACTGGCTCTTCTCCTCCCCGAGACCCCTCTGCAAGGGGATCTCCAGTGGCCTACTAATGGGCTTTGGATCTCCACTCCGCACTCCCCCCATCATTCACTATGGTAAGATTTTTTGTTCTGATGATGCCTTATACCTGATCCCTTCCACAGGGCGATCCTTTTAGACAGGTCCGATGAAGTCCCTCCTCTGTTCAAAGTTGCCCAAAGACTCCTAATGTCCCCCGGAATCAAAGCAAAGCCCCCCACAATGGCGCAAAGGGCTCTACAGGCTTTGGCATCTTTCAAGTTCCTAGCCTCAGTCCCTCAGTCTTTCCCTTGCTCCCTCGGCCCCCTGGCCTGCCATACCCATGGCTCAAGGCCTGGCTATTCCCTCCTGCCGGAATGCTCTTGCCCCCACACAGCTTCCTGCCTCACCCAATCGCTCCCTGCCAATCTCTGCTTCAACACCAGCCTACTCAGTCAGCCTTGTTCCAGCCACTCTGCACAGTACCGCTCTTCCTGATCCGGGCTACTGTGTTGTTTTCCATAGTACCTCTATCTCTTTTGAAGAAAATGCATACACTTTCTTCTTGGTTTTGTTTTTAATATCTATGGTCTACTGCCCCACAGACACCTTATCCATTGGTTGTACCCTCAGTAGCTAGAACAACCGGTTCAGAGGAGGCTTTCGACAAACATTTGTCCAATAAATGAGGGAAAAGCATCCTAAACCTGGAAGAGGCCCTTGGAGTGTACTTCAGAGCAGGAGCTGAAGGTCAGCGAGCTGAGGTGATCTGTGGACTCCCCAGGTGTTCCAGAAAAGAGGCTGATCCGGAGCCTGGCTTATTCCTGGGGTGGGGGTGGGGGGTTCACTGGCAAGTCCCAAGGTGATGTCGTCCCTCCCCCATCACCTGCCACAACCGGAAGGGTGGTGACGAACCAGAGAGAGCCAATGAGGACAACAACCTAATTCAACTGCCAAAGGAATCCACCTCTTTCCCCTGAGTAAGGCTCTGCATGGATGACTCAGCCCTTTGTCCTGCTCCTCAAATAACTCCAAGATGCACGGATCACAGTGATTGCTCCAGACGAATGAGCTACTCCTAGGTACCAGCCTTCACCCTTCCCCCTCCGCTGTTGCAAATACCGAGAATCTTTGAAAATGAAGAAGCACACCAGAGCAACATTTGGCCTTGCTTTGAAAAGGAAATCCTGTTTGCGCCCTATTGTTGAGAAATCAGCATTAGAAACAACGGATTGCTCTGAGAAGAACCAGTCTCTGATGCATCACTGTAACATTCCGGACAAGCCAGACCAGAGCAGAAGACAAGCAGACCCAGACCACACTTAGTATTCTGGGTCCCTGTCTCCTTTTGTCCTGGGAAGGGAACACCATCATCCAACGGGACACATTTTCAATGCCTCTGGATGATGGGTTAGTGCTGCCAATTCTGGTTCAAAGAAGACAGAGAGGGCGCCCTGAGCCCCCTATGCCAACTAGCTCCAAGTGGGACTGCCAACAGGCCCAGAGTGCACAGCGTGTTGGCAACCCAGAGCCTTGAAAACGCTGTCCACAACTCCCTGACCAGAGCGTGTGCTTATCGATAACGTCACGGCTGTGGTCATCATCGAAGACTTTCAGCACCTGCTAGAGTTGGAAGTAAAACTCATACAGACTGCTCTGCGAAACCATGAAGATTCTACCCCAAACAAATGAAGGTGCGTTAGACATTCTTCTATGCACACCAGAAAAATCAGCCCTGAAGGTAGCAGGTGAGCTGAGATTGAAAACGGAGGAGGAGTGGGCAGAGCGCAGAGAGAGGCATGGTCAGCGACACCCCCCCCCCACAGCCCCGCCCGGGAGAGAGGTGCCTGGGAGGCCAGTGCGCGCCCCGCGTGTGGTTACCTTGGGTGGCGTTCTTCATGGTTTTTACCAACTTGGCCCTTCCCGCTCCAAAACCATTCTTTCCAAAGTTGGGGTCACTGTCACTACCACTGCCGCGGCTGGCAGAGTAGGCACACTTTTGGGGTACCTTGTCCTAAGTGAACAACACGAGACGGTTAGATTATTCGTGTGCTTCGAGCTGGGCAGAGCATCCTGCGGGGAAATGGAGCGTTTCGTACTCGGGTGTGCTTCAGGGCCTGATTTTACAGGCGTGCCTCTCTCAACAGGGGCTTTCAAATACCAGTCGCTAAAAAAAAAAAAATCATCCTCAGGTGCAAAGGAAAAGACATCTAGCTAATTGATAACTTTCTTCCAGCCCCACACAGGCCGTCGCTGTGAGGGAAGTGACAGAGTGCTGGTGCCATACGCTCCTCTGATTCACTGGGGGCTGCTGGTCCAGGGGCTTGAGCTTCCCCTCTGGCTCACGCACACACAGAGCCTGACCTTGGAGGGTGACACAGGGGTGCGGACAAGGGCAAGCTCAAGAGGGTGGAAGGCGGCCGATGCTCTACCAGCAGGGCTTCCTTCTGCTCACACGGATTGAGGGCTCAGCCCCTGCATGCAGAATTGGGGGTGTCTGGGATCCTCTTTTATGTTTGCAGACTGTCCAGTCGGGCAGTCTATTTTCCACCCTCCGCGACGGACGTCCACATGGGATGGGTTTTAAGGTCTGGGTAAAATCATGTCGTTGAGGATTTTAAAAACTCCATTGGTTAAATGGGCAAAAGAGGGAGGTAGGGCAAGTGAAAAAAGGGTTTGCTAAGTTGTTTAAGTTGCCGAATACAAAAATGACCTCATTTGTAACCCCCACCTAATTTATAATAAAAAACAGAACAAAACACTCTCTTGGTTGGGGTTAGATTCCCCAGCCGTTATTCATTCACTCAGTCCTTGACTTACATATTCATCCACTCAACAGATATTTATGGAGCACTTATTCTGTGAGGGCCATCGTGCCAGGTTCTGGGGATACAGTGTTCAATGCAGCAGCCCCAGGTCTTGGGCATTAACGAGCATGAATAATGCCCCAGAAGGAACCCAAGGCTCCTGACGGTGGCACCAGGTAACCCCATAACTAGTGATCCAAGAGGAGGCTTTGCTTTCACGTATCAGCCACCAACAAATTTTATTTAAAATGACATCTCTCACAAAAGGGTTCAAGGAGTTTGTTTTTCACTAGCACAGTGGCTCTCAACCTTCCTCATGCTGCGACCCTTGCATACAGTTCCTCCTGTTGTGTTGACCCCCAACCATGAAATTATTTTCATTGCTACTTCATCACTGTCATTTTGCTGCTGTTATGAATCGGGCGACCCCCGTGAAAGGGTCGTTCATTCGCCCCCCATAGTGCTCGAGACCCACAGGTTGAGAACCGCTGTGAGCAGGCCCCACAGGTGTTTGGCCTCCTCCCTTGGGTGTGTTCCTCACCTGGGAATCAGCAGCAGCAGCAGCAGCAGCAGCAGCAGCTTGGCCCGCCCAGTCTGGCTCACTTGCCACTGCGGTTTCGGCATATTCGAACGATGGGCACGTTTGAGGCCTTCGCTCGGTTTCGCGCTGCTTGTGGGAAGGGAGTTTTCCTACACAAGGGAATGTACGTGAAGTCACAGAACAGCTTCCAACGCCCCTTACAAGTTTAGGGAGGGCGGTGGGGAAGGCATTTTCAGCAACATGTAGGTTTCCATTTTTGATATAGGGGTAAAAGGCAGAAAAAAAAAAAAACCATGACTATGCAGGCCTGAAGCGGGATGTGACTGCCCAAAGAGGGGCTAAACCCACTTTGGGGTCCTCACTCACTCACTGCCTTCGAGTCGGTGCTGACGCATAGCAACCCCCCTGGGAGTTTCCGAGACAGTAGCTGTTTAAGGGAGTACCAAGCCCTTCTTTCTTTCTCCCATGGGGCTGCTGGTGGTTTCAAACTGCCGACCCTGTGGATCACAACCTCACACATAACCACTACACCACTGGGCTCCATACTCAGACCCTGTCCCTTCCCCATCGCCCACTTTTAAAAGGAGTCACCGAAGGCCACAGAGAAGAGACGTCTTTGGAACCCAGTTGGTCCCTGGCTCTGGACCACAGTGACCTCACCGGTGGACAGGGAGCTTCTGGGAGGGCGGCACAAGAATGCGTGCAGGAGGCTGACCTCACTTCTCTGAGATCGCCTGCTTTGTCATATCTATCCATGACAATCGAACTAAGACTTGAACCTCACCAGACGGATGCAGTGCCTATTAGCGGTGAGATCAGGACAACCACCTTCCTCGCGCCTCTTATGAAGCCATTCAAGGCTTGCCATTTCTATTCCATTTGTTACAATGACAGTTTTTAATCATGGCCTCTGCTCGGCAGCCCGCCGCCGCATGGAGGTCACACACGTGACTGTTGAGGCATGCAGCACATCATCTATAACTAAGATTGCACCTCTGAGTCTCTGGAAGCCGTGCCATTAATTAACAATATACTTCTTTCAAAAATAGTATGCGTTCCAGCCTTTTACGACGGAGCCTTGAACCGAGGTTGGCAATGAGGCATTTGTGGCAATGGGCATTATGGTATGATGGAAGAATTCAGCCGCGGGAGCAGCCTGATACCTTTTATTCAAAGATGTTTAATTAACAGCCTTCTTTTGGAATTTCTCAGAAGCCAATACTGTCGTCTCTCCTCGTGGCTCCTACCCAATCATCAAATCATAAGTGAGAGAGAGCCTGTAATTCAGAGTTCTACCTCATAAGCTACGTGGGTTGTGAATGCAGCAGAAGCCAAACAAGTTACAAGTTAGTTAGTGTCGTGTCATCCTGGGCTGCAATACATATTTCCAATCGTTACGTGAAAAACCTTTGACCCTTACTCAGTCCCTACCTCTAATCGTGAACGCTTGCTTCAATTGATTGAGAAAGAACGGTCCTTCTCCGTGGGAAGGCCGGCTCATCGTAGTGAAGTCAATACCCAGCTTGCCGCCGACAGAGCAAACCCAGTCTTTTACACTCCCACCTATACAAGTATTTGAACAGAACGGCAATATGCCACGAGGCAGATTCCTTGAGCAAAGTGCAAACGATATTTAGCAAACTTTGTCTCGTGGGCCTAAGTAGGTCTCTCTTGGTAGTCCAGTGTTAAAAGAGAAAATCCCACCGTGTGTTTTCCCCTTTACTCATTGATATATTTGTACATTGGTGCTTAAATACACATGTCCTTCATCCGTGTGTCTATGCCGCCCGTGTAACCCTGTAGATGATGTTTAGTACACCCTTTCACATGGTTGGCTTTCTGCCTGAGGGCAGGCAGGGATTTTCCCGCAGCAGAATTTCCATCAGGCAGAGCTGTCTTGCTCATCCCCTGGTGAGCTGAGCATGCTCCGTGTTTGTCAGGGAGGACATGCTTGTAGGGGAGGGAGCGATCTAATTTGAAAGGTAATTGGTAGTGTACCTGAAGAGGCTGGTTTGGGGAGGCGACTGTGAAGAGGCCGGGCCCCTTTGGTGGCCACGACGGGGTCTGATGCAGAAGGAACAATGGCGTTATTATCCGCGGGACCGTGGCAGTCTGCGGAGGAAGGCACTTCTCGGTCAGGGGTCCGGGCTCTGGTGGGAGAAGCTGTGGAGAGGGCAGGCTGGAGCGACAGGGTGGGCTCAGTGTCCTCCAGGGTGTCTGGTTGGCACATGTACCGTCCTGTCGAGCGTGTCCCTGAGTCTGGCAGCGGGAAGGTTCCAATCCCACTGTCTAGAGTTCGCATCTGGCAGTTCGATTCTGAGACAGAGGGAACAGAGGGAAGTGCGTTAGAGAATGCGGACCCACAGGGAGCATGCGCATCTGCATCAAGGGCACGTTTCGAAGGAGGAGTTCCTGAAAAACAAAAATGAAAAGTTTCCAAAAAACAAAAATTAAAACGAACTATTTGGAAGGAGTATTAAAGGCATCATTAATTCCCAGTGAAGTTAGACATTTACTGGAGCAGGAACATATTCCCTATAAGGAAAGAAGATTAATCCATCGCAGGCACCAACACCCTGGATGGTTCTCTCGTAGAAAGGGAACATTCATCACAAGTCGAAATTCAGTTCTGCGCCCCTACTTCCATCTGTAGAGAGCCCTGGCAGTAGGTAAGGCGCTGGGCTGCTAGTCACAGGGTCAACAGTTCAAACCTTCCCAGGGGCTCCTCAGGAGAAAGACGAGCATGCAGCTGCGTAGCACCGGGCATCAGTTCTACTCCATCCTATCACGTTGCTAGTGGCCGGATGGCCACTCAATGAGAGTGTTTTGTCTGTTTCCTTTCTCGCAATGAGGTAAAGCTTATTAACTGAAATAAGATGAGTACAGTGAACCCTCGCCACTTCGCGCTTCGACTTCCGCGGCTTCGCTCTATTGCGGTTTTTGCGTAACAGCGCATGCTCTGTCATGACTGCCACTGATTGGCTCATACTGTACATGCTTGATGCCATAAATAATATAATAAATTATAAATGATAATTGTAATGTCCAAAATGTTTTACTGTATTTTCCCTTTTTCGTTTAATAAATTGGGTCATACGAGTGTAATGGTGACTAAAGGGTGTTTTTTCATGTCCTCTATGCTCTAACTAAGAAAATATTTGATTTACAAATAAGGAATCCTACTTCGCGGAATTTCATTTATCACGGTAGGGTCTAGAACCGATTAACCGATAAACGAGGGTTCACTGTAATGACCACAAATAGCACAGTGAGGATGGGCGATCCTAACAAGGTAATGGTAGATGTCTTGCATGAATTATTATCCCTCTGGCCTCTCAAAATTTACCTGCTGGGATAAGAAACACTCATGCTCTCCAGGGCCTCCCCAACATCCCTGATCAGTGTGCTTCCTTTGACCCCACTCCTCTCTGCATCTTCAGGAGGAAACGGCAGACCATGCCTGTCGCTCACACTCCCTTTATGCAACGGCGACACAACTCAGGTGCTGCCTGTCACTCGCGGGTTCCTGTTGTTTCCCATGACAAGTTACATTGGTTTCCCAGTGTGTGGGGGGCATAGTATGCTAATGGTGTCACCTATCTTCAGAGCCAATCTTATCGACAGAGAAAGATACAGTAGTGGAAGAAATCACTAGGTCTTTTACCGCTGAGATGGGAAGCGACATTAGCCTCATCAATGAGACAGTGTTTAGGATCATGCTGTTCACGTGCTGTTCACGTGCTGTTGGCTGAAACTGCCGTGGTACAGTTTCTAGCGACACCATGTGCATCCTGGGCTGTGTGACAAGCTCAAATCAGCGCTGTGTTTGGCACAGTGGGCATACAGTAGAATGCCATACCATCTTTGGGTACAGAGGCTCAACAGCTGGTATTTCTTTGCTTCTTTATAAACTAGTCATTCGAGTGTGTTCTGTATCAGTAACTAACCGTGTGCGACCCTGCAAAAGACCCTTTAAGGATCTTGGGGTCTCAGGTCCCTTATAGGGTTGCTCTAAAGATGAAAACATGTGCACCTTTAAAGTCGCAGAGCTTCAAAATGATGCCCAGCTTACTGTGAAAGAGCTGAGCACGTGAGTGGTGACACATAGGAAGTAGGTTTTGTCAATAGACCCTAGTGTACTTATTAGGTGTTAGATAGCTCCCAGGTAACTAGTTCGTCATTAAACACTGTTCAGACACTAGCTCATCTGAGCCTGAGAAATTAGGATCCAAATTCCAGAATCGGCCCATTCCTCCACCTTTCCTCCGAAAACCAGCTTGCTGTCATCAAGGTGTAGGATTCTGAGAAATTTCAAACAGCCTTATGAAAACAAGGGAGTGGGAACGGACCAGGCTAGCGTTCCTAGGTCCTCACTGGTTTGGAACAGGCCTTTTCAAGAAGTAGGAAGAGGAAACTTCCATTTGAAGCGAGGCTTCAGTCCCTAAGAGAATACTTAGTAGGAAGAGGCAAATCCCTTTTCTCCAGCCTGGTGCTGGAGATGCTGTCAGATCTCTGGGGTTGGGCCAGGGTCCGCAGGCTGACTGGTGCGTTCTCTCCCCAGGACCACAAGGGGCAATGTCTTACGCCTCATTCATTTCAGGACCTCCCCCTGTCAGCTTCACTCTCAATGAGCCTCAGAGATTATTCACCATCTCCTCTCTCCAGTTCTGAGCGATGGCCAGCTTTCTGCATGGAGAGGCTCAAGCAACCTTGTGAAAAGAGGAAGACTGGTACCAGACACATAGTTCGCCCTTCACGTTAGCCTTGAAACACAACCGTCTCTGACTCCGGCATGTTCGCCTGCGATACACCTACTTGGGTAATTCTGAATTGGCTGAAATATTCAGTCCCACACAGGACCAAGTGCTTCTAATGAGAACCGCCCAGTCTTGGGTGATGAGAATTGAGGATCACGAAATGCAACAGCTGAGGTGTATCAGACCCTGTGTGCCTACGCCTGACAGTCACGATCATTTATTGTCAGTGCCCTATGTTCTACCTACTCCTGAACCAAAGAGTTCTCAACATGGCAATACATGAGGGGGATTTTTTCCCCTCTAGGGAAGGCGGGTCATTAAAATTTGACTGCTTATTAGCTACTAAATGGCCCTGAATGTCACAGACAGTTTGCTTGTGGCTGCTAACTAAAAAGTTGACAGTTTGAACAAAGGCCTGGCGATCTGTTTCCATTAAAGACTAAAGCCCAGAAAGCCCATGGTGTAATTCTGCTCAATAACATATGGGATTGCCATAGGCTGGAATTGATTTGACAGCAACAGGAGTATTGTAGTGTGATGGACAGATTTTATGGCAACTTGATGGATGGGACCTGTATGGAGGGAGGGGTAGGATGCAACCTGTCAATCAGCCTGATGATGCTTTTAAGGGGTGTGGCCTTTTTATAAGAGAGACTGAGAACTGCTCTCTCCCTCTTGTGCCTCTTCACCTTCCTGCTTGCCTGGATTGAGCATCAAGCTGTGGGGGTGGCAGCCCATGTGACCTGCTGACTCCTGCGAGCTGTGGCACCCTGCCACGTTCCTGCCAACCTTGGACCCATGCCCCTCTGCACCCGCTGGGCTGTGATCCCCAAGCCTCCTGCATCAGGGACCAGCAACTGTGTGAGTCTGGGAGTGAGGCTGGACTGGACTATCTTGATATCCAATTCTTTCTAGATATGAAGTTATTTCTCACACAAATAAGAGTGGTTTTGTTTCTCTAGAAAAGCCACCCAGAGACCATTTTTGCTTGGCTGTGACTTGAAAGGGTGGCTTCTTCAGAGTACCCGGGGCTACTCTGGGAGGAAGACATGGAGATCTACTGCAGAGATGCTAGCCGCCAAAGACTCCCGGGAGCACAGTTCCACTCAGACCCGCATGAGATGGGCTTATTACAGCTGCCAGGAGTTCACCGCTCCTTCTGTATCATCACGTTCAACCATCACAACAACCCTATAAGGACAGGTCTGCCACTGGTATGTTACAAATGTACCCGCAGCATGCTCAAAGAGACTAATTACCTTGCTCAAGTCAAATGCTGTAAATAAAGAACCTACATTTGGATCCTGGATTGTTCAACCTCAAAGACCATGGCCTTAGCGCCAACTTATACTCACCCATCCCCACCCCTACCCCCACCAAAAAAAAACAGGAAAGCTAAATTTCAACAGTGAGATCTTCTCTGGGTTCACCACAGAGCCAGTTATGTGAGCAGGCTCCTGGCACGGCAGCGCTCTGGTTCCCGTCCTGGGATTGGTGCTGAGCCCTGAGTTCTAGTTGGGTTCCTACTATAAAAAACTCTGTGGTTGGGGGTCCACAGTCCAAGTCCCTGCCACTTCTATGCAGTTGGCGCTGACCACAATTGCTTAGTAGCTTTTCCATTCGTTTGCTTGGATTGGCTTCTTAGACTTCCACCCTTGTGTTGTCCTGGAGGTTATGTGGCCTCCCCGGGCTTGGGGATGGCCACCATTCCCAAGGGCAAGGCTTTTCTGACATTGTCTAAAAAGATGCTCCTCCCGTCCCCTCCTGGGTTCAAGCCTCCACAAACACTGAATCCAGTCCTTTGAAATGGAGGCATAAGGCAAAGCGAGTTTCTTAGCTACTCTCCGTATCAGTTGGCATTAGGCTCAGACACCCAAGGCTGTGTGTGACGCCATGGCCTGTAGCCTGAGGTTCTGGGGTAGCTGCAGGAAAGAGAGCAGAGGAGAGGTCTGGGACAGGATGAATGGGGGAGCAGCTGAAGTACCCTTCGGAGGATACAGACACTTCCCGGCTTCATCCCTTGAAGTCATGTCCCCTTCTCTTTCACACGCACTATGGCCATGCTGGATTCCATGAGCTAGGCCTTCCCAGATGTGTGACTTCTCCATTGGAGATTTGTGTGCACTGAAATTAAGCTCAGAAACCACTTGCTATGAAGGCCACTTTTTCTTCCTAAAAAATTACCGATACCAAGTCCATAGTGAAGGTCAAGGACTTGCTTGTAAGTACTATGAAATGAGGTATGGACCATCAGGGGCTCACACACCATACACCAAGCTTCACCGTCAAGCAAATGCCTTGCGAATGCATAAGGTTTTGGAAATTGGAGTGTACACTGAAAATGCCAACACCACCTTTGTGGAACTTCTTTAAATATTAAGGCTCTGCTAAGTTTCGTGCAGTTCATAAGGATATTTTAACCTGAAGGAAAAAAAAAGTCAGATATTGTGCTTTGGAAGCCTGTGTCTCCCCTATCCGCCCCTGCCCCCCAGTCCCCACCCCTGCCCCCGCCCCACCTCTCTGGGAATGACAAAGATTCATGATGTACTTAAATGGTTG